TTATGGCTTCTTCAAGAACAAGCGAATAGTTTTGTTTGACACTCTACTAGAAGAGTATTCTGTTTTAAACAAAGACATCCAGGAGGAGTCTGGCATGGAACCCCGCAATGATGGAGAAGGGGACAGTGAAGAAATAAAAGCTAAAGTTAAAGTGAGTTCTTCTTTTCCTAAGAGACTCTGGTTTAGTTTTTATAAACATTTCCTGGGACAACTCAAAATAACATCAATTTTTGTGTAGTGAGTTTTGAATTCAGGGAGACTGTCAAATACAAACACCATGGCCCCTTTATAATTCTGGTATTTGGGAATGATTGTCACTATTATTACATGCTAATAACTAAACTACCTTTTCCATAATGTACACATTAAAATTGGAAGCATAAGATAGGAAAATCCTATGAATATAAACTATCTTTAAAACAGGGACTTTATATGTATTCCTGATGCCTTTATGATCAGAGAATTCCCACAGACAGAATAAAGAGGAGATAAACATATAATTTTTAGCTTCGTTGAGACATAGTAATTATAGGCTTTGGCAATGGAGAGACTTGGATTTGAATCATGGTTCTGTCATTTAGTAGCTTTGTGTCCTTGGGTACATTATATAATTTGGTTAGTTTTCTTTTGTTTGTTTAATAGATATTTATGAAACATATAATCTGTTCTGAGATATTTTGATTGGCACTAGGAATACAAAAGTAAAGAGGCATACATAGCTCTCAAGGAACTCATAGTTAAAGGAGGAGAATATGGTAATTGCCAGAAGGAAGCTATATAAACTGGATGCAGTGAGAGCACTAGAAAAGACATTTCTTAAATCTGACCTGAGAGTCTGAGAAGGCTTTTCCTGAATCCTTTGCTGGTGCTGATGAGCAAAATCTAAAGTATCAAGACTACATGGGGAAGAGGGAACAATGATAATAAATGGCACAAATTTAATCAGAAAAGTCACCAGTATGTATATATGTGATGTGCCATTGGCTTCGGTATCATTCAGAGATGATTTTGGATCTGTGCAACTCTGGGCAAGTAAGGTTTTCCAAATCTTTGGTTTCTTAACTAAAAGATGATGCCAGCAGGATTTTTCACCTCAGCACTGTTGACATTTGGGCCAGATAACTTTTTGTTGTGGGAGGGTATCTTGTGCATCATAGGATGTTAAGTCACATCCCTGGCCTCTCCTCACTGGATACCAGCATCAGCTCCCCCACCCAACAATTGACAACCAAAATTGTCTCTAGAATTTGCCAGATATCCCTGGGGCAGGGACATATGGGGCAAGATCACTGCTAGTTGAGAAACACTGGGCTAAGAGATGCTAACCTTTTAGAGTCATGAAGATTAAACGGAATAATACATGTGAAGTACTTTGTAGTTCATTTTATATATTCTGAGTACTAGAAAATAACTCATCATTTGAGCATCTGTTTTGACCCTAAAAAGATGGTCTAGTACAGTGCCTAACCTGTTATAAATATGTAGATGGAACAAAATTCTCTGATGAGGTTAAATAGCATTGGGAGAGGCTTAACTCCTTTGATTGTGGTTTGTTTTGTTTTTTTTTTAAATGAGGTTATTCTGCCAGTTAGGATATTGGAATAAAAGTCACTTTGGTCTTACCAAGAATCATAGGATTTAAAGCTAGTAAGAGATCTTAAGATCATTCTACAGCGGAAAACTGAAGTCCAGAAAGGGTAAGCCAGTGACAGACAACATTGGGGAATCAAACAAGTTCAGTAAGTCAACTTGCTTAAGAGGTATCCACGTACAGCGTGGATTACATTATAGCCAAACCTAGACATTAGATAGTGGTCCACTAATTTCAAGCAATGGAATGAAATTACCTACCTTAGTATCTTTGAGAGCAGTATTCTTTGGCTTAAATCTTTAAAAAGATTGGGCTGAATGGAGTTTAAGTTATTTTCCTGGTGTCTTGAAGAGCCTGCTTTATTTTGTTGATAATTACAAATATTTTAGCATCTATGTATAAGTTACATGATGAAAATGTATTAGACATAGTCCTACCCTAAAGAACCTATAGTAAAGGAGACTAAATATGTACACAAATAGCCCATTGTTTAAGGCACAGTGTGGTAAAGATTGTGAGTGGCTGAAATAATGTGGCTTTTAGAAATTAGTAAGTTAATGCAGATCTTAATGGTCAGACAGATTTCTTAAGAGAGAAGATACTTGAACTAGACAGAATTTTGACTTGGGGATGGGCTTTTTCATGTTGAAGATATGAATGAATAAAGCTATAGAAAAATTACATACTGGCTATTCTGAGACTGATTAAGTAGATTCTTATAGATGGGGATATAAAGGTAGGCCAGGACTAGTTTGTAAATACTTCTTTCTGAAGACTTCGAGTAGTTGTTTCCCGTGGCCTGGAAAGTTTAGATTGACTTGGTTAGAGGCCAAAGCTTGTTTTAGGAAGGCTAAAATTTGGTGGCAGCATATAGGATAGAGCAGAGATTGGCAGGGAAGCTAATAGGGCCTATTGTATTAAGATATCCAAGATAAACATGAAATAATGAAGGCGTGCACTAGAGTGAGAGGTCAGAATAAATGGAAGAGTCACGATAAAAGATGGATTTAAAGCATTTGGTCATCACTATTATGGGGAGTGAAGGAGAAGTCAAAGATTGACTCAGCAGCACTCATTAACTGTATTACTTTCCAGTGCATGTACCACTGGTGAGATGATTTTAGATAGTTTATCAGTATTTTAGATTTGAATAGCTATATATTAATGTATATGAGGAAAAAGATAAGAACGTTTCATAAATGTTATCATTTAGGATAAGGTTAAGTTTTTAAAAGTAAATTGGTTTAAAGAAAGATATTAAGTAAATAATCACATAGAGAATACACAGATGTGGCAAAAGTTTAGGAAACAGTGATTTATTCAGCAACTGCTACTGATCGCCTACTATGGTTTTAAGTCTGCATGATGTAGAGATGAAGTATTTCATTTTTAACAGAAGTTCAAGGAAGAAAACTAAAGTTATTTGAAATCCCTCCTCTTAGAAGTAACTACTATGAACATTTCGATGAATGTCCCTATACTGGCCATTAACACTTTAAAAGATGTCTAGGGAACTTACTGTCTGGAGTAACCCTTGAGGAGACAAATGGAGAACATAATTGGGACAACCTGTCTCAAAAGCAGTTTAAGTAAAAAGAAAATTAAAAGTATATGAAAGCTGTATAGAAAAGCTGCCCTTTTGTAGAAGAAAACAAGTGTTTCCCCAGCAGGTGCTCAGGTTAGGTGAAAGTTTTCCCAGCTGATAAGTATAATAGAAAGGGCACACGCTCCAAAGGTGTGGATTGGGGTTTTACCCACAACTTATTAGCAAGATGATCTTAAGCAAGACATTTTAATTTTTCAGCTTCCTTTTCCTCATCTCTAAAATGAAGATAATACTTTTCATCCTTCCCAGCTTGGTGTTGTGAGGATCAAGTGAATCAGTGTGTGACTTTTATAAATATTGCTATAGAAAAGTAAAGATGTGTATTTTATTTATTTTTGTTTTTTTTTCATGTGAAATGTGTGTGGGAAGAAAAGAAAATCCAGTTCTGCCTAAGAATCTACCACAAATAAGCAAGTCTCCTTTTTGTAGAAAGCTCTCTCATTCCATATATTTGAATATGACTTCAGTGTAGTTCTGAATAGCTTCCTAAACCCACACGTCAATCAAAAGACAAGAGCCTCTGCACTCTAATAGAGAACTGGTTGTTTTATAAAAGAATTTATAGTTCGTATTGGGAAGCAGATAACTTGTAAAAATGGAAACCTAAAGACTGTTAATTTATATAGAATGAGGTTCATCATACTTGCCTTATAGAAATGGAGATTCATGAACTGTATGTACAATACCTAATATAGTCAATGTCTGGTACGTAGGCCATTAGTGAGTAGGAGCTATTAACATCATTATTATAAAACAAAAAGACATACTTTTGCTTATCATAAAGTGATAGATAAGAGGGTTAAAAAATATCTATGACAAAATCATCTATATCCTACTAACCATAAACATCATACTATATATATTTGTAGTCTTTCTAAAATTTTTTTTTTTCATCATTTTCCTGTTTTTGGATATATGGGTTGTTTCCCATTTTTTTTCTGTTAAAAATATTCTTGCAGTGAATATCTTTGTGTGTAAATCTTTAGTTGCACCTCTTTTCCTCCTTAAGATAGATGTCTATTAGTTGGTGCTCTAATTCATAACTCCCTCTTAACGGCCATGTCCTGAAGGTACAGGTGCATGTGTGTGTCTCTTAGCCATTTAAGGAACTGGGTTAGTTACCTCATTTTTTTCTTTCTCTACCAAATGTACTCTGACCTAAATTCTAATATTTGAAAGGAAAAGATAATAAATGTACATACTATCTTGTAAATCTCTCTGATTGATCCCTTTTTCTCATGTATCTACCCAGCTTTTCTTTAAGTGGTCATGTTCCTTTAAAATGAGGAATCGGTAAAGGAGGGGAAAGTAATAGAATATCTAGATTCCAGTAAACTTTGCTTCCCATTAGGTTGCATTTTTCTACTAAACTGTATAAAACAAAATCAATTCCATGTTCATCTGTTTTTTTGTACTTCACCCTTTTAAGTAGCTGGAGTTTTTTTCAAAACCTTAAGTCTTCACTTTCTAAGATCTATATTCTCTAATGTTACAAGTATAATATGTCTCCAGTAGATCAAGCTGGTATATTATTTTGTTGAGATCTTTAAATCATTGATATTTTATTTGCTCGATGTTTCAGTTATTGAGAGAGGTATCTTAACATCCTTTATTATGATAGGTTTGTCAGGTTTTCTTTCAAGATCTGAAAATTTTTAATTAATATATTCTGTGGAAGTAGTATTAGGTACATACAAATTTAGAGTTAATTTATCCTCTTGGTAAATTGAACCTTTTAGCATTCTGTTGTGACTTTTAATAATACTTTTTTCCTTTAAGTTGATTTTGTCTGTTATTAATATAGCTATACCACCTTCTTTTGGTTAATGTTTACTAGAAGTCATGTCATCATTTTACATTTTTTAAAAAAATTATTGAGATAAAATTCACCATTTCAACCATTTGAAAGTGTAAAGTTTAGTGGTTTTTAGTATATTCATAATGTTGTGCAACCATCACCACTATCATTCATTCTTTTACTTTTAACCTTTTAACATCCTTATGTTTTAGATATCTTGTACATAGCATAGCAATGGATTTCGTTGTAATGGCTGTTTTTAAATCCAAACTGACAGTCACTTTTTTTTTTTATTGACAAGCTTAGCAAACCCCCAGTTGAAAGGTCCTCTTCTTTTACCCTTTCCAGGGAGAATAAACTTTCAGGCTTCTGCCAGGATGAGGGAGGAGCAGTTGCCTTTTGGTGTGGAGTTGGAGAAGGAATCTGGAGTTTTAACCATTTCTCAAACAGCTCTCACCCAATTCTTATTTTAGTCACCTCATTCTTTTCCCCCAGTTCCAGAAGTACATGACGCTGTTAATTCCCAAGCCCTTTGAAGACACTGTGGTGTAAATCAGGCTGCTTCCATTTTCTCCACTACTGGCTTATGAGTCAGCCTTCTTTGGTCTGCTTAGTCTTATCATTTGTCCGTCTGCTTTTTTGCTTCCAAAATGTCACTGTTATCATCTCTACTGTTTCTCCCATCCTTGTGAGTTTATATCTTTAAAAAATATATAGCCATTGACTATAGTTTGATTGGAGTTTTTAGAGGGAATAAAATTAGATGTGAATGTTCTTTCTGCCATCTTAACTTGGAAGTCACAATTTTTAAAATGGCAATTCCTGGTGTATTTTTTGGAGGTCATAAGTGATATGTACTTATTAGTGAATAATTTAGAATATAAGAAAGATAAAATAAACATCACTGTAATTATACCACGTAGAAAAACTGCTAACATTTTGATATAGTTCCAGTCTGTTTTCTATATTTGTGTATTTCTGCATACACATTCACATTTTTTTGTAATTAGAATCATACTCTATGTTTTTAGTTTTGTTTCCTGTTTTCTTCACCTAAGAAACCATTATGTTAGAATGTAATCTTTGAAAACATTTCTAATGGGTGTATAACATAACTATTATTTGACATTATCTATCATGAGCAGTTTCCCATATCAAAACATAATTTTTGAAAACAAAATTTCTAGTGGGTTTATAATATGGCTTTCATATGACTTTGTCATTATTTATTTAACTATTGCCCTATTGACAAAGATTTATATGTTTTCCACTTTTTTTCCTAATCTAAATTAGACTGTAAGCTTCATGAAGTCAGAGTATGTCTGTCTTGTACATGATTCTATGTTTAATGCTTATTAACCCAGTGTCTAACATGGAGTGGTTCAGAGAATGTTTTGTTAAGTGAATGAATAATTTTGCACAAAAGTCTAATTGTTTCCTTAAGTTAGAATCTAAGAAGGGCTCTTACTGGGTTAAAAGGTATAAACTTTTTAAAAGTTCTTGTTAATGTATTTTTAATTTGTTCTTTGATTCAGAATAAGAAACAAGGATGCAAAAATGAGGAGGTGCTTGCTGTACTGGGCCATGAACTGGGACATTGGAAGTTGGGACACACGGTCAAAAATATCATTATTAGCCAGGTAAGTTTGGAGTGACATTTCTCTTTTTATGGCATGGTAGTCAAATGAGAACTATGGCAGGCATGAGAGGTCTTATAGTAGAGAGCTTAAGACGGATGCTATAGCCAGGCTGCCTGGCTTTACGCCATGGCTCCTTGACTTACTACCTGTGACTCACTACCTACTTGACCTCAGGCAAATTCTTGAACCTCTCTTTGCCTCCATGACTTAATTAATGATAATACTTCATAAGACTGATGTAAGAATTAAATGAATTAATACATGTAAAGAGTTTGTAGTAGTACCTGGAATGTGGTAGGTATTATAAAATTTATTATTGTTACCACTATCATCATTACCACCTGGGTTACTCAGCTATGGGAGCTGTAAGGTCAAAAGGCATGAGCCTAGATAATTTGGACATTAAAATGCTTTTTAAAAAACATCTTTTTCTCTCTTAAAAGTCATTATACATCTTTTGAAAAGAAATTGGAAAATGTACTAAATATAAAGAAGAAAATAACAGTTGCCATAACATTCCTCCTCTGGGCATTAATAGCTCTAAACCTACAGAGTGACCACAGGTTGCAGGCTTTGGGTGAAATAGCACTATTATCTTGTTGACTGGTTCTGAGCATATGTAGCTTTAACTGAGTCTTAAGTGGGACTTTATACCCTTCTAAAAGACCAGCTGATTCTGGGTGCTGGATTACATGGGTAGACTTGTGAACCCCTATAGGCATTTTCTGGTGGCTTACATCTGTAGGTATAAAAATGAGTTCCTTGGCTTGAAGCTATGTTGTATGGGTACATGGCAGTGAATGAAACATTAAATAAGTCCATATCTAAGTTCAAAGTAAATATTGTATCAAACAAGGAAATCACTGACCCTTTCGTGAAGGTGGGAGTCCAATGAAGTTAGCCTACCATGATCTGCTGGCCTGGTCCCTGAGGTGTGCTACCTCATCAGGGCTGGGGTTGATTGCCAATTCTGATAGCTTGAGCACCTGGTAGGAGCCAGTGGGGGGATGTCTGTGTTATTGATTAATGCATTGACTCCATCCCTGTCACCTTGGCCACTTGGTTCGTGACCAAGTCCTCGAGTGCCTGGGGAAAGAGGCTGGCTAACGTCCACAGAGCAGACGTCTTCTCCACCTGATCCCTGAGAGCCTCCTCTGCTATGGGACTCTTGGTGAACATTCACATTAGACCAAAATATTATCATTCTCAGGGCTAATTTTGGAAGTTTTTCTCATCTCTCTTTTCCAGATCTCCCTGTTAGTCATACTCTAGTGTTTATTCCAAGGCCCTGATCATCCAGCCAAACCATTAGTTGTCCACTGCCAATTAATTAGTATATAATAATTAGTTAGTATATAATCATCTCAGGCCCTCTCTCCTACCAGTCTGAGTGCGCGATGAGGTAAACTGCTTAAAGTTTCTTACTGAGAGTATTTCTTTTCACCACTGTCTTCCAGGATGGTACTGTAATGCCACAGCAGTCTACTTTTAGCTAGTGCCAGCATATTAAGTGATTTGTAAAATAGCCTTAAATGTTTCCTCCTTAATTAAATAATTATAGGGAACGTCTCATGAGTAAAGGTCATTGAAGGGTGGCAGAGTATCAGGAGTTGGCATACTAAGAGTGTAAGCCACCTGCTCATTAAACTTCTGCTTTCAAGACTTTTTTCATTCCCACTGCTATATTTACCACTTATACCTGATGTTGGAGTTCTAAGCATACCACTTTCCTTGCTAGATGGATCAAAATAGCATCCAGTTCAGGAGGAGCAGCCCAGATTGTGAGATAATGATGTCCTATGGCCAAGAATCAGTCTCTAGTAGGTCCCAGGAGCAAACTAAAAGTTGTTTTTCAAAAGGACAGTGGTTATTTGATGGAAAAGGCATCAAAGCTTGTAATTCTAGGGGCCTTCACTGTGAGTGAAGTTTTCTCTTGGAGCTTGTTATATTGGATCCACTGAGTTATACAGGCTGAGTGGCAGAGCTGCTTGCATTTCATCCTGGGCCAGCTGGTGAGCCTTTTTATTCTCTGAGCCCCACTGTAAGCTGGCAGCTTTTTGAGTCACCTGATAAATGGTTTGGAGCAACACACCTAAATGTGGTATACCTCTGAGATCCTCATCTGCTAAGGAAAAAGAATAGTATTTGTTCTCCAGCTTTATTCCAGTACCCCTTTACTAGTATTTTGGCACAGACTTTTGATAATTTTTCTCTTTTATGTATTATTAAAGATAGACCTACTTTTTTCTTGGGCCTTTGTAACTATTCAGTAAAGCTCCAGTGGTCTTAAAGGGAATTCAAGGAATGCCTGTTTTCTTTGGAGCCTGCCAATCAACGTCGAGTGGGAGGCCTTGTGTCTGATTATGGTTTAGTGCAAACAAAGCCCGAATCCATTCTAGCTCTTTAACTTTTTACAAGAAGAAAATATTCTATAGCTGTTGATTACTTTAAACTGTCAATTATAGGAGGTTCTACTTAAGCCTGTCCTTAGAGAAAACTATATAGTTTATACCTTTGGGGAAATTTTATTTTTCTTTCTAGACTAAAAACTATGAAACTACCTAAACTTTTTTTTGGCCCCCATATTAACGCCATAATGTCTTATTCTAATTTTTTGGTACTGCAGTGAAATCAGCTCAGTAATAACTTAGAAATTTTGCGTCCTTCTTTCTAGATGAATTCATTCCTGTGTTTCTTCCTGTTTGCTGTGTTAATTGGTCGAAAGGAGCTTTTTGCTGCATTTGGTTTTTATGACAGCCAGCCCACTCTAATTGGACTATTGATCATTTTCCAGTTTATATTTTCACCTTACAATGAGGTAATGTATAATCTTTCAAGTTATTCACATATGTCTTGTTTCAAATCTAGAACCCCTAGGGTAATGAGAAAAGAAATAAACAGAACTATAGTTTTAACAAGGAGATGAAACAAAGTCTTTTAGTCCCTTGATTTACTGGCCAGTGTAAGACAGGAGCAGAAAAACCCAAGCCCAAATAAAGAAAAACTTGTTTGGGGGAAAAAAAAGTGAAGAATTAGACTTTAGTAGTATAAACTTTGAAATAACACATACATCAGAGACTTGGTGATGGAGATTAACTGTTGGAATGCTATGGCCTAGACCACATACTCACCAATGCTCAAAATCTGTGTGTGAGAGAGCAAGACAAATAATAATTGAGTATATGTATGGCTAGATAAGGGAGACTGTATGACAGTGTTCCTCTGATTGTGTTCTCTGACCACCTGCTTCAAAATTGCCTTAAGATCCCACTCCAGACCCTCTAAATCAGAATTTTGGGTACTATATGATAAGTGAAGTTTAAGAACCACTGCTTTGGGATTGCTCAGTAGTGGGGCTTCATACATATGATAAGACATGGATTAATGAGACTATTAACAAATCTGATGATGACAACATGTTGTAATATTTGATAAGACTTCCAAATTAAGCCAAGAAATAATATTGGGGAGCTTGAGATATCGCCATTCGGAATTATTTCTTGGAACAGATTGTAGAGTTAAGGTTTTAAGATAAATTGAATGAATCCTATTTGTTCATAAAAAGAGAGAGAAGGATAAGGCACCAGAAAAGAAAAATAGAGAGGAATAGATCATACTTGTATAGCATTGTCCCATAAACTAAACAGATTTTTCCGAGAACTGAGATATATCTTTAAACTCTAATATTTTAATTTTGTATTTTAACTTATTGAAAATATTTGTAAAATGCCTTACACAGTTTATTACTGCTTAGAAACTACAGACCACTTTAAAATATTGTCATTTCTGTCTTCTGTCATAGTTCAGTAATGCCTTAAGGATACTGAGCTATGTGTACTATTGAATCCAGACTGCTCTACTTTTTCAGCGATTGTACTATTTATTTATTTATTTATTTACTTACTTACTTATTTGTTTGTTTGTTTGTTTAACTAATTTTCTTGTCTCTTCCCTCACAGTCAGGCTGATAATCTTCGCTACTATTAACGTGACTTTCCATTACTCCACTATTCCTTTCTAATTTTCTTCTTTAATCTACCATAGACAGGAAAATCAGATAATCCTCCTTATTAAGTAAAAGTTACTAGATTCTGAGTAGAAGGGTCCTCTTGTAAGTAGTGTTAGTCTTAGTCATTACTCTTTGTGGCATCTAACTGGGCTATTCAGGGTTTTTTGTTTTGTTTGTTTCCTTATGTTGAGTAGTTGAGTTCACTTCAAAACATGTCTAAATAAATGTGGAGCATTAGAGTAATTTGAAATGTGATTAATCCACAGAGATAATTTTTAAAACCTTAGAGAGCCCTTAAGATTTGTTTTAAAAAGATTGGATATATAAAAAGAAAATCTTATGTTTAATGTCAGTGTTGAAGAGGACATGATAGGAAAGAGATTTTCCTAGGGAAAATTACTAAGAAGAGTTTGGAAAACTATATAAGAGCAGTAGGTGCATATTAGTATCTGCTTATGTCTTTATGTGTTATAGTGAGATTCAAAAAACAATTTGCCTTAGTATTGAGAGAGCGGGCAAGAAAGAGAGACACATACACATACCAGTTAATGATTCTATCCCTAAAAGTATATTCAAAATTTGAAAAGAAATTTCAGGCAGAATTCAGTTACTGAGTTTGAACATATCTTAGAAGGTAGCAAGAACTTTCAAACTTTGCTTTGAAACTCTTATATTTGCTAGCGGCAATAAGAGGTACAAATGAGAGACTTTTTAACCTTTTTTTGTTTTAATACTTAAGTATTTTAAGATAAATATCTATCATTCAACCTACAGTACTTCAGTATGCAAAGAAATTATTCTTTGGAGACTGGATATTTATTCTGGCAATGCTGCAGAGCTCAGAACATTTTAGAAAATTTAATTTTGAGATTGTCATTAAAAGCTATAGCATGTTTTTTAGAATATGCTCAGTAAAGGCTGTCATTATCCTTTAAAGGTAGATAAATGATCACGAATATTTTTTTAAAAAGAAAAAGAGTCTGAATATAAATTACCACGACTTCACTCTGACTCTTGAGGAAGGTGATGTGCATGGGCTTTGGAGTCCCTGAAAATTTCAGCACTACCACCTGGCTGTGTGACCTCAAGCAAGTTATCTTACCTCTCTGAACTTCACCTTCTTCATCTGTAAAACAGGAGTAAGGAGTAGTTTCTTTGCAGGATTGTTGGGGAATATGTCAAGTGCCTGGCTCATAGCAAATTCTTAAAACTTAGTAGTTTTTGGTAAGGGTAACATTCTTTGGATTTATATGTTTCTGGTGTGTTTGCTTGGGGGAAAAGGTTCAATTTATAATAATTCCCCATCCTAAGTTCCCTAAGTACTAGTGATCTTTCTTTGGGCCTGCTGTTTCTCTTATCCTGAGCTAAACTTTCTCTGCAGTCTTAGTTCATGAAATCTTCAGTGACAACAAAGAGTTGGACAGTGGCTAAAACCTTTTTATTTACTTTTTCAGGTTCTTTCTTTTTGCCTAACAGTCCTAAGCCGCAGATTTGAGTTTCAAGCTGATGCATTTGCCAAGAAACTTGGGAAGGCTAAAGACTTATATTCCGCTTTAATCAAACTAAACAAAGATAACTTGGGATTCCCTGTTTCTGATTGGCTATTTTCAATGTGGCACTATTCTCATCCTCCACTACTAGAGAGACTTCAAGCTTTGAAAAACTCAAAACAAGATTGAATTGCACAGGGTCTGCGACTGAAGATATTTCTGATTATTTCTGTCCTGGCAGCATGTTCCTGCTCTTGATGTTTTTAATTTCTTTTTTAAGAGAAAGTATTAAGTACAGAAAAGCCCAGATTTAAATACATTTAATATCTCATTTCAAAAATTATTTTAATAATTTGTTTCTTAAGAAAACACTGGATAAAATTTTAAGGGTTAATGTTTTTAAAGGCATAGTTTTATCTTTAATGTCAAATTTATCATCAGCTTGTAAAATTGTTTGTGAAAATAGAGAACTTGTTTTATTAACACACTTGTATGAAATCTGCATATAAGGTGTTCGGGGGCATATGTTTAAGAGAGGACATCCAACCTCTGAGTCCTCTAACGCAGAAACAGTGGTTCCGAATCATTGTGCTCATACCTAAGTTGAGACTTGTTTTTACTTTCATGCTGTTGTGATTTAACCTGGCCAATCAGTGTTTTAAATAAGGAAGAAAGACAATAATTGGTAAGGCTGATGTTATTTAAACGCGAGTACTTAGAAATATGTCCTACGGTTCTGCCAAATTCTCTGTTCCCTCTCTTGCTACACATGGATCAGGAATTTCCAGTAGTGTTTTGAAATTAGAAATTATGTACAGAATGTTCCAAATCATTGGGTTTTGTTTTTAAGAAAATCTCAGTCTTTATCTTGTTTTCCACTTGGTAATATGGTCCCATTAGGGGTAAACTAGTATTTTTCAAAACATTCAGCCTTTTCCTCATGCCCTTTTATCACATATATAATACATCCTTTTACTTACCAGAAATTGTCATATTGAACAGGTTTTGCTATTTTTACAGTGGTAGAATGTGGAAAGAAGAAGAAATGACATTTTAAGAGACTTAAAGGTGAAATACTGATGATTCTCTTATGATAATATAGGAAAAAATATATAGTTTTCTATCTCTTTCAAGGACAGAAGAGTTTTTAGTTTTTATTTTTGTAATTTTTATCAGTAAATCATAAGTACTATTTAATCAGGCCTGGTTCCATTTTTGAAAGTTACAGTTCTTGATATGCTAATAATTTTTCTTCTCAAAACAAATGTTATAAAAGCTTTCTTTTCCAGTTTTCAAAGCTGCGTGTTTGACTGCTTCAAAGTGGGATCAACTGTGCACCCTTGGTACCTGGCCAGAAAGTCTTTTGCTCAGCTCATATTTGGGTGATGACTTCACATGGAAGTATAATAAAAATAAAGATCTAGTTTAGTACTGCATTATTTATTTCCTAAGGCTAAAGAGGAGCAGTCTGTGATTTTATCCAGCATCCTTTATCGTGAATTCATGCTGTGATAACTGCCTTTCCTTCCTTCTGTGCCTTTAAATACAAATTTCAGTTCTGCACAAGTGAAACATTAAAAATTGCCAATGCAAATTAATGTACTTTGTCTTCGATTTGACAAAATTTGTATGTCATTTGTTACCCAACTATATATTTATTACCTAGAGGACTGAGTTGCCAGTAGTAGGTAGAAATGGCCCTAATGCTGGGTGACGTCAGCACCATCGCTGTGCCTCACAGTGAGTCTTCAGTGCCTTCCCCCTGCTCCACTCCAGAATGTTACCAGTTCTTGCTGGTGTTTCCTTAGAAGCTTCATTTGGAACTGTTCCTTCTCCATTTTCATAACCAGAATTGTCCTGGGCCTCATCTGCATCTTTGGTCTTCCTTACATGTGACAGCAGTAATTAGTTTTTTAATCAGATTGTTTTAACCTGGTCACCTACAATTTATGGGTGGCAGAGGCATAGGTATGGCCTAAGGATACTGGTAGCTTCCTGAGGTATTGACCAATCAGGGGAAGGAGTAGAGAGGCCAACCAAAAAAAAAATGCCACTTTGCCCACTTTGCAGGGGGCAGAATGAAGTAGATCGAGACAGGTAAAATAGCATGCCCTTAGCAGGGTTGATCTCTGAATCTAGGGCAGAGCCTCTGTTGTCTGTAGGTACTGCCTTTATCTGTCTTGGCCCTTTGCTCACATCTGAGAGCTACAAGTAAATTCTGCCTCAGTTCAGGATAGGAGCAGAATTCCTGGGATTGATTCAGTAATTTTAGTATCGATGATGGTTCCAGGTTGGCCTTTACCTTTACCTAGTCTGCAGTCCTCTGCTCTACCAGCTGAGCTATCATCGAAGGAGAGCCAGACTTTACCTTTATATTCTCATTGTTTCCCCTAATCCTTTATGTAGTATTCTTCTCCTTGAGGAAGCCGCCTTCTATTTGATCTTTTTCATTAATCTTTTGGCTTCTTCTGTACGTGTGTACTTTATGTAGCTTTGACTGTTTTGAGTGTTTTATCATCATTAGCAGAAAGCTTACTAAGTACCACTTGCGGGCCTTAAGTTCTGTTCTTGGTGCTATACAAAGAAAATTACAGAGAACTTGTATCCAGAAACTTATGATTCAAGACCCCTCTGAGTGTCAGCTACTGGGGAGATGAGAGACCAGCAAAGGTATCCAAGGACAGTGTGATGAGATAAGGGTTGCCAAATTAGACAACCCTTTATTCCCCAAAAATATGAGATGGCAGCTGTTGGTGGAAGTGGGTTTGAGAAAAAGATTTTATTTTTTAACATAGCAAATGGAGTTAATACCTGCTTCACAGGGTCTTGTAAGGGTGGCATGAGATAATGTTTGCAGGGTGTTTAGCACAGTGCCTGATAATAATAAGAGCTCAATAACTGATTAACACTGATAATCGTAATTGTTAATAACGATATTAATAATTCACCATAATCACTACGATATGGATAAGCATGAAAACAAAAATGTCTAACCCAGCTGGCGGTCGGGGTGAGGAGAGGATTGCTAGAGGACGAGGTCAGATTTTGAAAGAGGAGGAGGAACCAACCAGGCAAGGAAGGGCAGGGGGTATTCCAGGGAACAGCAGGCACAAAAACATGAGAACGTGGAGGCATTTTAGGAATTGCAAGTTAGGAGAAATGAGGGTAGAGAGGAAGTTGGGTCAGCTATAAGGGGCTGTGTGCCATATAATAAAACATGTGGCTGTTATCCTGAATAATGTCATTTAGCTAATATGTATTAGTTCCTGTTAAATACTGTATCTTCTTGTAGGCTCTCAGGGTAAAGCAGTGAACGGGACAAAATCCCGTCCCTTCATAGAGCTTACATTCTAGTTGGGGAAACAGTGAACAAATAGTATTTAGGGAATGAATAAATATTTGCTGAACAAATGAGTGAAAAGGAGAGATCAACAGGGTTGGAGAAGAAACTTGTGATAAGGGGGTGAAGGCAAAAAGTTGAAGGTGATGCATCCTTTTTACTTATTTCAGGCCTGGGAGCCAGGTAGATGGTAGAATTAGTCACTGATAGGGGTACCCTGAAGGAGCAGGTTGAGGTGGGGGTGGCTCCAGTTTTGGACAGGTTGAGTTGCAGTGCTTATCAGATAGATTATGCAAAGGGGACAGAGGACACATATCTCCTCATCCACCTAGAGCTAGATTTACTTGAGTTTAGTTGATTATGACCTCATGAAGAGCATGACAGAGGTCCAATAACTAAGGCAACTGGCTATGGGTACTATCGTCAATGTAATCCTCGCTTTATGGATAAGAAACAAGCCCTCCAAATGGGAATATTTCTGCCCCTACCAGGATCTTTACAGCAGCCTTTCCACCGCTGCTCCACTGCTGTTGCTTACCTGGCGGAGAGCTTCATCAGCTTCTATGCCCACCCAGTGCCACCATATCGATACTCACTTCAGAAATTGCCAAAGTGACCAGCAGCCAACTTGGGGCCTTGTTTGTTAGTAAAACACTAGAGCTCTGGCTGAAGGCCCCTTTCACTGTTGAATTTTTGGTGGCATGGGTTGGATGCTGGCCATTTGGGCTGAAAGATTAATGGTTTGCTAAATTACTTGAAACAAAATCTCATCATCTAGACTTCTGCAGCCCAGCCAAGGGCAGGTTTGGAACTCAGTCCTCATAGGCTGCATTCTGGAGGAGAAGCTGCTGAACATCCAGGAAGGGGCTGGGCTGCCTTGATGTGATACTCAGTTTGGCTTCCTAAATCCCCCTTTTCCTGATTGTGAACATAGGAGTTGAATTCCTACTTCATTTTTATTGCACTAGATTTTTGTCTCCCAAGGTTCAGTTATTGAGGGGCAGATCCCTGTTCTTGGAAGAGGAAATAAACCGGATGCCCTGGGCCATCTTGGAACATGCCTCAGCCACACACTAGCCAAGACCAAATCCTTTCCTTCCTTGTTTGATGGTCGCTGGGGTCTTCTTTGAGCATTCACTTAATAACCATTGAGCCCCCGTTATGTGCCAAGCATTGTTTTGGGTTTGCTTTTTGGTTTTGGTTTTTGAAACTTTCATTTTTTTCTCTTTTCAAATGACTCTTTTAAGGCCAAGGTTTCAGACTCCAAGACAAGTAAAGTGACTTGGCCTATGGAAGGGAGAACCCCCTTCCCACTAGGTATGAAATACCTGGAGCCAGCTCAGGGCTAGGCTGCAGCTGCCTCCTGCGGCTCTCATCCTCTTCCCCTTCTCATTGAGCCCCAGATTCTGGATTCCAAGGCTCCTACAGCCCCAGCTGTAGTGGGGCCTTGGGATGGGTGCGGGGGGACTGGGATGCTATGATTCAGGATTTGCCAAAGCACTGAGGGTGAAGCCACCTCTGTGCCCCTTAGGTCTACCCACCTTATTCTTCCTGTCTATCTTTGGATTGGGGTAAGGATGCTGAGATGTCACCAGTAGTGGTACGCACACATATTGGGGCAAGGAAGGGAGGAGAGAGGGTGGGCCAGCAAGGGGCGTTCTCTGCCCCTGCTGGCTAGAGGAGAAAAAGGGTGCTCCAGCGTAGATGGGGATCCACAGCCAAGTTTAGGGCGAGGTGCAGGAGGGCCCAGGCTTCAGAAAATGCTAGGACCTCAGGCTGGAGCCCTATGTCTCCCTTCAGGAGGTTCCAGAGCTGGCAAAATGCTTCATTTAAAGAAACAAATGCCCAAATCAACAATGGAGCAAAGGGATTGGTCACTCTGAATTTCAAAAACTCCCACCTTTGCATAAGTCAAAAGCACCTGCCATGCCCTTCCCTGCTTCTGCTGTTTCGAGCAGCTTTGCTTGCCTACAAAGCTATAAGGCTGGGAGCCTCCAGAGGTACAGATCAGATCTGAACCATTCTCCCCTAGACGTCCCCTTAGTGAAAGTGGCGTGAGTGAATAACACTTCTGCTCTCATCATCCAGTCTATGTCAGTTTTTCTCAATGGCCTGAGAACCCCTGAAGGGTAAGAGCCAAGCAAGTCTTCTTATCTTTCGCTGCCAGCTCCTGCCCCAGGGCCAGCACACAATGGGTGCCAAACTCACAGAGGACCTCCCATGTGCCAGGCTCCAGGCAAGACTCCAAGAGTGCTCTACTGGGTTAAATAAGACCTGGCTGAGTCCTTGTCACAGCTGTACAAAGTCTGGGAAGTGATTTGCCCAAAGTTACATAGCAGGTCACCATCCTGACCACCCCCAGGTTCTTCCCATAGATGTTCCTCCAACTTGCTGTGTCATCCTAATGCTCACAATCCAGGATGTGCCCAGAGGAAGGTGCCTTAACCCCTGCTCTCCTCTTCTGGAACCCCTGACTATCGTTCCCAGGCAGTGGAGGCCCAGCCCCAATCCATGAGAAATTAAGCCCAACAATTCACATCCTGGTTTGTACCCAAATTGGGATTTTTATTTACAGAAAGGCCTTCGTGGATCTAAGGGAGTGGTGGGAGAGGGTGATGCCAGAAAGAGAAGGGAAAAGGGGGTTTAAATACTTAGATGCGAGGGGTGCAGGAAGGAAGTAATGGGGCTGGCTTAAGGGCAGCCGCCTCAGGTAGTTACCCATCAGCAGTCACCTAGGAAGTCCAGTGGGTGAAATGGGATCAGGAACCAGCAGAGACCTAAGTCCATCTGTCCCAAGGACGAGATGACCAGTGGAAGATGGTGCAAATCAAGGATACATTTGTTTTAGTAACATCTGAGTGGTGCCACTCCATCCTCTTTGGAGCTTGGACTCTCTAGTGACACTAGACCTGTCTGTTGGCCTCATCTTTTCATTGCGATACCCTCCCTTCCCTTCCTCCATGTTTTAGAATTTCCTTTTCTTAAGGACTCCTGGGTCCCAGACAGAAAGTCTTGAGAAAGCTGGTTTCCTGGGCTGGGGGGTGGGGTTCATGTCCACCCAGAGGGAACCCAGTCTTTTCCCCCCAGGATGCCTGCCAGGCTCTATCCTGGCCTGATGTTCATGGGCCCTTGATGGATCCGGGCTCCGTGAGGCGTGCAGAGGCATAGGCTGAGGCTCCAAGGCAGGCCGCAGGCTCACAGAAGCCAGGCAGCCCCACGGGGCCTGGCAGGCCGGGTCGACCTGCCTCTCCTGGGGCTCCTGGGGACCCTCGGTCTCCATCTTTACCATTGATTGCCTGGCCAGGGCGGCCAGGAAGACCTGTGAAAGGGAGAATGTCAAGACATCAGGGCCTCCTCCTGTCTCTACCCTAGGACTTGTAAGTTCCACTTTTCAGAGGTGGAGGGGGTAGGGTGGGGAATGAAGCCAAGGACACCACAGGTAGAAGGGACTCTGCCCCAGACTAACAGGTTGGGAATTACATCCGGTTGTCAATTACTCCCAACTTCCAATCAATGAGTCTTGAGAGCAAATACCCTTCCTTTCCCTCCATGAAGCAGATTTTGGTACAACCCAGGAAGTCCTCAGAATCCCAGCTGTTTCCAGCCGGACCCCTCCCAGAGGCTCCTGGGTACTCCAAAGGGATGCGAAAGCTGGGTTGCAGAGCATGAGGCCTCCACAGTAAAGACCCAGTTGTCTATGGGTCATTAATTCCAGAGCTGAGGGGCAGAACCACCTCTGGGCAGGGCCAAGTTCTCACCTGGGATCCCTGGGGGCCCAGGCATCCCCGGGTGTCCACGTCCCATGTCTCCCTGGTCACCCTTCTCTCCGCGTTTTCCTGCAGAGAAAGAAGGGGCCTTAGTTTTCCAGAACCGGAAAATGTTTTTTCTACTTTGGTTGCTATTTAATTTCTATTTCACACACAGCAATTATTCCTATTTTGTGCTAGTTTACAATAGAGGAAATTTGGAAATGGCTGCAAAAGTGGTTAAATAAAAGAAGGTCCAGACAAAGGATAGAAGACTCTACAGCCGATAAAGTTCATTACAGGAACGTGTCTAATAATAAGGATAGCTGGCATTCACTATGTGCCAAGCAATGAACTATATAAATGACCTCTAAATGTAATTAATCCTCACCACCATGAGGTTATTGCTATTAATATCCCCATTTTACAGACGATAAATCTGAGGTCCAGAGAGATTAACAGGTAACTTGTCCAAGGGTCACAACGAGAAAGTGGCAGAGTTTGGACTCATACCCATCTTGTGACTCTTGTGTCTGCCCACTTTACTGTTTTCTTAATCTGCCTCCCCACTTCTAGAGCCCTGGAAAGATGTTTATGGTGTATCACTAAGTAAATTTAAAACAACCCCCCACCCCAAAATAAAAATAGTAAAAAAAAACAGGTTATAACATAGTACATTTGTTTCCATCAATTTGCTGCCAAGAAAGAAAGCCCAGGAGATCTCGTCCTGGGAAGGGGAATGATGAAAGGAGAGAAAACAGGAGGCTGAGCAACAGGAGCCGAAGCCCATGGTCTGGCCCCCACCCTCACCACAGAACAGCACTCACCTTTGGGCCCCGTGTTGCCAATCTGACCCACAGCTCCCACGATGCCAGGAACACCCCGAGAGCCAGGGTGCCCATGGGGTCCCTGTTTGCCTGGGTACCCAGGAGGCCCAGGGGGTCCTGGGGGACCCACCATGCCAGTTGCACCCAGGGCTTCCCTCTTGGCACTAACAGCCACTTCTGCCAGTTGCTCTGGAGAGGAGAGAGATAGAGAGGTCTGTGACATGGGTGCCAACTCAGAAAACCCAGAAGGCAGAGCATCCTGATGGCCTCTGGCCCCTGTGGGTGCAGAACAGAAAAGCCCTGTATTTAACCTCCCCTTTTCTCAGGCCCTTTTGCTGAAGTCAAAGGTCCATAGAGAGCAGGGATGTATCTAAGGTCCCCAGGCCCTTATAGGCAGAGCTGGAATGAGCACCCAGGGCTCCAGACACTGGGGAAAAGCCACTTGGAGAGACTCCTGAAGGGGGAATGATGTCCTAACCTGGACTGTGAGGATAGGTTGGTGCCCCTCCCCATCCCCTTGCAGCATCTTCGTGTGTGTGTGTGTGTGTGTGTGTGTGTCTGTGTCTGTGTTTTGCCCTGACCTGGACTGTGAGGATGGGTTGGTGCCCCTCCCCTCACCTTGCAGCATCTTCAGCACCACGTCCACGATGTGCTGATCACTGGCATCTCGGCCCTGAAAGCAGAGAGGCCCTTTCAGGAAGAAGCCCCTGGCTTCCAGGGCTGCTGCTCCTGTGCCCTGTGACCCCTCCTTCGCCTACTTTTTCACCGTAAATATTTTCAGCATCTGACCGAAATCCCTCCTGCTGCACCCAACACCCATCCTCTCGGATCTGGAGCGTGGAACCAGTCTCAGAGACGCCAGCTTCCTCTGGGAGTTCCCAACCTTTGGGGCATTAGCAGCACCCCAAGAGATTTCCTATTTAGGAGACCCCCCCCCACCCTGGGGGGCCAACTCACCGCCACGCCCTGTCTCCCGGTCTGTCCCGGCACGCCGCGGTCTCCAGCCAGTCCTCGAGGGCCAGGGGGCCCGGGGTAGCCCTGCACTCCGGGAGCTCCCGCGTCCCCGCTGGGGCCCCGGTAGCCGGGTTCTCCGCGGACTCCTTGCTGCCGGGGCGGGATGGGTGCATGGCCGGGTGAGAGGACGCACGCGGTGGGAGCAGGTGTAGAAGGGGGAGGGGGCCTGGAGAGTGGCGGTTCCCCGGCAGCCCAGCGGGACGAGGGCGGACGGCGGGAGAAAAGGAAGGCGGCGTCGCAGAGGCAGGACTCACCTGTCCCTTTGGCCCTGGCTCTCCAGACTCGCCCTGCAGGCACAAGGAAGCGCAGTCACGAAGTGGTGGGGCCCCGGGGCCACCCGCGGCTTCCCTGGCCGACCCCACGCAACCCGCTCACCTTCTCGCCTTTCTCTCCTGGGAGGCCGGCCACCCCCGGGTCGCCCTGTTAACGCAGAACAGTTAGTCACAGCAGCAAGGGGGTTCCGCGTTAGGGCTCTCATACCACCACACCTGCACCCGCCGCCCGCATCCCACCCACCCCCGACGCCTGCGACGCCTCTAGGCGGGGGCAGGGGAGGCGCTGGTACTCACCACACCGCCGCGGGGGCCGGTCTTCCCTGGGGAGCCCTGCAGAAAGCAAGGGACTTGATGAGTTCCTCCACCTCAGCTCCTGGTCACATCACCCTCTGCTGCTCCGCCTCATCCCCAGAACCCCCTGAACCCACAAAGAATAATTTTTCCAGGAAGATTTGGAAGCTCAGAAGAATTTAAGCTCCACCCCCCCACCCCCGGATCTTAGGGCCTCTTTACCAGGTATTTTCCAGTCCCATTTGGTACCTTGTCTCCCTTGATGCCTGGCAAGCCTTGTGGCCCTGGAATTCCCGGGGACCCCTGCTCCCCCTTCGGGCCCTGACGAGAAAAGAAATCAAAGGAGTAAATCAAATGAGGTGCCGGGACTTGCTCCCCACCGCCTACTTGAGCCGTGCTGCACTTACCTGCCGTCCTTGAGGGCCTGGCTGCCCCACTGGCCCTCTCTCACCTTGGTCACCCTGAAATGGAAAGAGAGTCACACCCAGGCTGTCGGCATGAGCAGTCAACCGCTGCCAGACCCCAGGCCAGACCCTACATGGTCAGGGTGCCCTCCGTTTCTGCTGTCACCAGCATGGAGGTCCTTTGCTCTACTTCACAGACCAACAAACTGAGGTCCTGGCTGCGGAGGCCTCATACAAGGCTGGGTAGGACAGGGCAGGTGCTGGAGCCATTGAGAGGACCCAGATCCTGGGTCCAGCAGAGTCAGCAGCTGCAAATGACTCCAGGGAGGGGCCACTGTGCCAGGCACTTACCTTCTGCCCCATGATGCCCCGCGGACCGATTTCTCCTCGAGGCCCTGGCTCTCCCTGAGGGACAGAGAAACTGGGAGTAAGCAGTAGGCCTGGTTGTATGACTTCCTTCCACACCTGTCTAACGTCCACCCATCCTTGGGTCACAGCTAATCTGCTTCCTCAGGGAAGCCTTCCTTTACCCCCCATTTATTCCTTTGTGTCTCTGTACTTTTCCTTCAGAGGGCCAAACCCAATGATAATCAGTCATCATATGGTTATTTATTTCATGTCTTCTCTTCCATTAAACAGTAAGCTCTGTGAGTAGGAGACTATGTGTCTTAGCATTTAGCACAGTTACAAGTATTTGGTGAATGTTTATTGAATGAATGAATGAATGAATGAATGAACAAATGAACAAATAAACGAACCAACGAACAATTCTTGTCTGCTAGATTCTCAGCCCTAGTCAGCTTGGTCATCCGCAGAGGTCATATTCCAGAACAGAACCAGTTCTCGCCCTCAGTGCATTTTACAAAGAGGGGAAGAGCTTCCCTGATCGCTGGTAAAGGCCTGGCCACTACCCAGGGTACCCCAGCCTAGGGCTTCACAGTCTCCCTCAGACCCATATACTGAATGCTGGGTCTTCAGGCCTGGGGGCAGGGGTCAAAGCAAGAGCCCTGTGTCAAAGGAGGGGGCACTTACCTCCTTTCCAGGGGGACCAGAGAATCCAGGGAGGCCCTGCTGGCCTGGCTCACCCTGTAGGAACACACGAGTCTCAGGTCAGTCTGGGTGGCCCAGTCAGGCCCTTGGCCTTGGGGAAGCCCAATGAACCCTAAACAAACTGGAACCAAATGAGTTGGGGAGGGGAAATGATGTTCTTGGTCAGGTCCTTGGGACTCCACTGATTTTCCTGTGTTTGTTTCTCATCTAGATTTGGAGCTATGCCATCCTGTCTCCAGCTGGGACAAGGGGCAGGGGGAGGGAGCAGGAGGGAGGTAATTAGGCCCAAGAAACTCATGTCCAGGCCAAGTTGCTGAGCCTGGGGTGAGCCCTGAGCTTTGCGGTCTTTACAGCATGCTCCTCGTCCCTATCCCCAGACTCCCTTGCTCAGATGAAGCTATTCTGCCCCCAGCTTGGGGTCACCTCACCTTGTCTCCAGGGCCACCTTTCGTCCCAGGCTGGCCTGGCACACCCTGTGGAAAGAAGTTAAAATCAATTTCTGTCCAGGCATGGGGGAGTCCCATGCACCTGTGCTTTACCTCCCATCCCTGATCCAGTTCCTTCTCCCTTGTGGGCTGAACAACAGAAGGCCAAGACATGGCTTCATGAACTTGACTATGCTTACCCCCAAGCCCTGGTGGGAGAGGAGGTGGGGACATAGGGACCTGTGGTCTATCGGGAGAAGAGGAGGACATTATGTGCTCGTAGGCACGCGTGGTGCATACAGGAACACAGTATGCACACAGGCACGTTAGCAAGTCTTGGTCTCAGGGCCTCCAGCAGGGAGCAGGGCTGCCGGGGCGGGGGTGGGGTGCCTATAGGCTGGGCTCCTGAAAGATGCGAGATGGAGGAGGGCCTGAATGGTGAGGAGGCACAGAGAGATGGCGAAGGGCATTCCAAGCAGAGAGATGGACAAAGATCTGAAGGCGTGGGGGTTGAAAAGCCAAGGCGGCATTGAGAAGGAAGACCATGAAGAGGGGCAGTGGCTAAAAAGGGAGCAGGAGTAGGCTGGTCCAATCACGGTGGTCCCTGAATGCTAAGATGAGCTACGAGGACAAGGATTGCGGCAGTTCTATTCATAATTATTTTCCCTGCCACTCAGTGTATCTCGGGTACTCAGTAATTATTTCTTGATGTACTGAACAGAATGACTTTCCTGGAGGCAATGAAGGCCATACAAGGTGCATAGCAGGGAAATAGTCAGATTCCACCTAGCCAACATGGAGGACTGGAATTGCCAAACAGAAGACTGGAGCAATTTTCCCAAAGATAAGGCCTAAGCCAGGTCAGAGGCCACAGAGGTAGTGATGAGGCCTGGGCTGGGTGAGGGTGAGGATTAGATCAAGAGTCCTGAGTGTACGGATTTTGACTTCATAGGCCACTCATGCCACTGTGGGGAGGTGGGTCACTGAGCACCTCTGTGGCCTCTCTGAGGAGGAGAAGCAGCTTGCCATGGAGCAGCCCCCATGGTTCCACCCCATACTCACCGCTAGGCCCTGGTGGCCTGTGTTTCCTGGCCGCCCTGCCTGTCCTGCACTGCCCTGAGAGAGATAGAGAACCAGAGGCATAAATGAGAGCTCCAGCCAGAGCGTCCCTGGCTTCCACCGAGTGCAGGCAGGAAAACTACGGGCCAGGGGCAAGGATAGATGTGTCAGTGAGACACCTGAGGATCCCAGGCTCCTAGGCCTCCGGGATCGGTGTGATGGGACTCAGGGCCTGAGCTAAGAGGGACCCTGACCCCTGCCCCAATCCTGCCAGCAGTTCCCACTCTTACCTTCATGCCAGGTGTGCCTGGGGTCCCATCCTTGCCATCGATGCCTGGGGGACCCTGCTCAGAAGGAGAGTTGAAGGTAGATTCACAATGGGGAGATGCCTGGGATCAGGCCACCCACCCATGTCCCTCTGTGACAGCTGTAGTGTGCAGGTAGGAAGTGGGTCCAGTCACCTGGAGGGGTCCCACCAGCCAACTGGGGGAGAGGAGCGGAAGTGGGAAGGAAACTTCAGAGGCTAGACCACAGTCCTTCCCTTGTGTGAGTGGCAAGTGTCCCAGATTGGCATAAGCTTCTCATGACCTCTCCTACATCACCTCCCTATTCACAGCTGAAAAAACTAAGGCACAGAAAGCGGGCAATTCCCAAGGTGACAGCTTGCAACAGAGTTCAGTCAAAATCCCAGGTTCCATGTCCTCTGAGGTCTTGGACAGAGTTGACTGAACCCCAGTCTCTGTCAGGGTGGGTCTGGGACACTTACAGTTGCTCCCTTTGGGCCTGTTATTCCCTGGGGTCCTCGAACACCTTGACTGCCCTGCAAAGTAGATAAAGATGAGGTCACCTTCAGGATGCTGAACGCCTGTCTGGCTGTTGACGGAGGGGAACAGCTAACAGTGACCTCTGGGTCCCACGATCTCTCTGGCACAGACCACGTTGTGCAGGGCAGGAGGATGGGGGCCTAGGTGTGTTCTTCTGGCCCCAGACCCAGTGGGAAGTAGAGGTCAGTGTCAAGCAGAAGGGGCCGAGCTGGCCTGGGCCGGGCTGGCGGTGGTGAGAAGGAGCCAGCACTCACTGAGACCCCACCAAGACTCGGAGCTCCACTTACATCACACAACGACCAAATGCAATGTATGAGCTTTGTTTAGGTCTTAAGTGGAACAAGAACCTTGAAGAGACATTTTTAAGATGACTAGGAAATAATGAACACAGACTGGTTATTTGATGATGTTAAGGAATAATTGATAATTTTTTGGTGTGATAATATTGTGATTATGTAAGAAAAAGTTCTTAGTTTTAAGAGATATATACAGAAGTATTTAGGGGTAAAACGACATGATGTTAAGAATTTTCTTGAAAATATTAGAGCAAAACAATAACAAAGAGAAGGAAAATAGGAGAAAAGGGGAAGGATGAAGCAAGTGTGGCAAAATGTTAATTTGGGGAGCTAGGTTACATGGGGGTTCATTATATCATTTTCTACTTTTGTGTATATTTTAAAATTTGCACGATAAAAAACTAAAAAAAAATAATAGTCAGCTTTACTTTCTGCTCAATTTTTATGTAAACTCAAAACTGCTCAAAAGAAATAAAGTCTATTAATTTAAAAAAAGGTAGGGTTGAGAGAACTGGGATCTGGACCAAATCCCATTAGCCCCATGGCTGATTTGCTGGAATTTCATCGTCTGGCTCTGGTGGCTGTGGGTCTGAATCTCATGGTTTCTCCCAAAGTCTAAATTTGATCAGCAGGAGGCTGGGCTTTGAGCAGTGGGGGCTGACAGAGCTGACTGGGCTTCTCCAAACCAGTCACCCACACGCACAGGCACCGAGTAACACACACACACACACACACACACACACACACACACACACACACACGCACACACATACACGCACACACACACGCATGCACGTCCTACATGGAGCTGAGTCCTCCCCAGTACTCCCCAGGGGCCCTGGCTGGACAAGAGGAACCTGAGGACTCACCACATCGCCCTTCTCCCCAGCTCGGCCTGGTGGCCCCCGCGGACCTTCCTCACCCTGGCAAGAAGGACAAATAGGAATCCAAGTTAATTGCCTCAGAGAGAGTTGCACCTCACCCTTGCGGTCCAGGGAGCTCCAGCATGGAGAAGGTGTGGGGAGGTGTGTGGAGGAGGTGCCAGGAGCAGACTTACCGGTGACCCAGCGGCGCCAATGGAGCCCACCATGCCTTTGTACCCACGAGGACCCTGGGGAGAGGGAAGGAGGTGCGGGTCAGTCCCGGCTGGACCCCAGAGGCCAGAGCAGGCTGTCACAGCAGCTCTTGCAGGAAACCCCAAAACTCACTTACCATTTCTCCTTTGGGTCCCGCCATGCCTGGGTAGCCCCTGACACCCTGGGGACCCTGTCAAGACAGAAAAAAGATAGTGGTGGCAATATCAAGACCCACTTTATGATACCTTCTCTGACCCCCACTCTCATTCTTCACAATGCTCCTCTGAGACAGGCAGCAGAGTCCATGTCCCGTAAAGGGGACACCGAGGCTCAGAGATGGGGAGGAACTCGCCAGGGGCACTCAAAGTGACAGTGGCAGAACCTGGGCCTCAACTGAGTCTGCTGACTGACAGCCTTGGTTCCTGTCCCCCAATTTCTGACAGTCAGCCTTAGCCTCCCTCTCTCCACCCAGACACATGCCAGCTGGGCACAGGCATCCCTTCTACGAGTTAGAGGCCAGAGCAGGGGAATGACTCCCCTGAGGTCTCCCAGGGTGAGGAGAGGAGGCCCCAGGGGAAGTGTTTCTTACCGGTGGTCCAGGGATGCCTTGCTCTCCAGAGGCACCCACATCCCCTTTGGGACCCTAAAAGGCGGGAACGAGTGATCAGACAGGCAGGCAGATCAAGAGATAAGTATACAGACGAGCAAAGATACCATCCTTTCCCAGTGCCATGTGACTGCTGGATGGGGAAATGGAGGCCCAGCAAGGAGAAGGGACTTGCCCAGAAACATGCTGACCTAGAACATGGACCTCCTGCCCCCAGCTGAAGGCTCTGCCCCCAGAGACCCACAAGGGAAGGGAAAGAAAGGAAGAAGGGGAGGCCTTGGAAGGAGTAGGATGTCCCACGGCCCTCCGCCCTCACACTTACTGGCTTCCCCAGGTGTCCAGGATCTCCCAGAACCCCGCGTTTGCCAGGATGCCCCTAAAAGAAAGGATAGAGCTCAGTATGAAGTCCCATCCCAACCACCTGCTCTGCCCTCCCAAAACTTGGACCAGTAGCTCACCTTCACTCCCTGCAGCCCCGGGGGGCCTTTCACACCTGCTGGACAGTTGGTTGGGCACTGAGAAGAAAATCCCGCAGGGCTCTGTGGTCATGGGCCTGCCTCAGGCCAGTTGGGCAGGGCTTCCCCATCTTGCCAACTCCCAAACCCTCCTCCCAGCCCACCTGGCTGAGCCACTCTGCACAGCCCCTCGCCAGGACCCAACTTATCTCCACCACCGCCCCTCTCCTGCTGCCCCACCCCTTCTCTGCATTAGCCCCACCCAGGACCACCTCTTACCAGGAAATCCGCACTGCCTTCGAGGCCCTGGACAGTTCCAGGGCGGCCCTAAGAGGAGATGTGTGGAGATAGAGCCTGATGTGAACCCTCTCCACCCCCGGCTTTTGTCAGCGACACTTCTTCCAAAGCTGCACACTGCCATGTGGGAGGTTTGAAGACACTTACCGGTTTCCCAGGAGGGCCTGGGGGACCTGATGGTCCCTCTGGTCCAGGATCTCCCTAGAAGCAAGAGGGGCTCATATCATACACCTGCCCAGCCAGGTCACCTCCTGAGGTCTAGGCTCTTGGGGATATCAAGGCCTGATTGGCAAGGGATGACCCCAGCCCTTGGCCTCCCTGAAAGACCCCCCGCAGGGAAAGCTCAGCAGGAGGGGTTTCCGCTCCAAGCCTGGAGAAGCTCCCTGATGGCCAGAAGCAGGCCAGGAGCTCCTGGAGAGACACCTAGCTTGCTAGCTTGGAGGCAGAGGGCAGGAGGTAGAGTGAGCAGACAGGAGGCTGGGGCTCACCTTGGCGCCTGTGATTCCGATCTCACCAGGGAGCCCAACAGGTCCAGGTGGTCCCTAGGAGCAGAGATGTCACTGGCCAGGATGTCTTGGAGGGTTAGCCCACCCCAGGTACCCAGGTAGGGACAGGCACCCAGAGCCCTCTTCCCCACTTTTACTTTGCAACCAACCTCAAAGGACTGACAGGTTAGGGCTTTAAAGACCAGAGACTCCCAGAGCTAGTGGATAGGTCCAGAGTGGGCTGGCCCAGGGTTCTCTGGCAAGTGTGCCCATTCCTGACACCATCAGAGCATGCTAGACCCTCCCCATAATGGCCAGTCTCCTAGAAGCCCTCTGTATCTTGCTTCCCAAGGAGTCTTAGGAACGTTGCCCCAACCCTGAGGACTTACAGGAGGTCCGGCGAAGCCAGGGCCCTGGAACAGAAAGAAAAGAGACTGGGTTCATGGCTCCTTCTTCAAGTACCCCCTCCCCACAAAAGGTTGTCAGAGCCTTTACAGGTTACACTCACCGGCAGGCCAGGGGGACCTGGGAGCCCAGGCTGGCCCTGCAAGAGCAATGGGAGAAGCTCAGAGGCTATGGTCTCCTGGGTCCCTGCTCCTCTCTACTGTAGCCCCTCCCAAACTCTGGCTCTAGGTTGCCCATGCTGAGTCCCCAGCGGGCCACTTACCTTGACTCCAGGGATCCCAATGGGGCCAGGCTCCCCCTTGGCTCCAGTTAGACCCTGAGAAGGAATAAGTTAGATCAGTGAGGGGCGAACCTGCTCCCTGACCCATGTGCCTCTCCTGGGTGGGCTGAGACTACCTTTTACCCCACTTCTTGAAGGTCTAGGAGCCTCAACACCTCGCTTTCCTTCCCCCAGTTCCCACGGTAACCCTGGGAGGCAGGGAGACAGATTATCTTCTTTTGAAAGATGAGAAACCAAGGCTCAAAGATTTGTCAGGCCAGGTCTCACACCTCCTAGTTTAGGAATCTAGAAGACATAGACACACGTCCGGAACTGTCATTTTCTTGATGTCTGCCCTTGGTAACTTTCTGAGCCTTAGTTTCTTCATATGCAAAATGGGTTAATAATCATGCTTGCCTCTCTGGGTGGATATGAGAACTGATGTGAAAGGCAATGTGCTTTGTAATCTTTACATGGTGTGACGAGTAGGAGGGGCCCTGGTGGCTGGGCACAGCTTTGGTGGGTACCTCTTGAGCCAGCAAGGTAAAGGCAACTCATGAGAGCCTCTTCCTCCTCCCATCTGTCAGTGACTGACCCAAGCTTATCCCCCAACCAGATGACTGTCCCAGTGGCCTGTGTCCAGGAGCCTGTGATCTCAGGGTCCCCGGGAACTCTGTGGTATCAGCCAAATAATGTTCCTCTCCTGAGTTGTACCTTGGGCTGCAGGGGTTAGGGTAGGGAAGGGAAGGGAAGGGAAGAGGGGAGGGGAGGACGAAGCACACAAGGACAGGTCCACCCAGAGTATTCAGTATGATACTTGGAGGCTAGACACGTGACACTAAATCCTGGGTGCTGCAGACTAACAGAACCACTCTGTGGATCCCATGTGCCCATGATTCAATGCTCTTGGTATACGTGTGAGGGGTTCCAGTGAAATCACAAGTCACGTGAAGAGGATGTGGGCTCACAGTCATCGAGTCTCCATCCTGCTACCCTACTCTGAGCAGAAGATGAAGGAAGGTGCCAGAACCAGTCTACTCACATCAATCCCAGGCTTCCCGTCTGGCCCATCTGGCCCTGCTTTTCCAGGCTCTCCCTTAGGTCCCTTGAAAACAGAAGTGAGGCAAATATTAGCCAGAAAGCAAGAACTGGAAGGGTCAAAGGTCAAAGAGGAAAAAGCACTCACCGGAGGGCCGGCTTTCCCAGGGGGCCCCTTGTCACCCTGCAAGATACAAGTTGGTGAGAGCATGCTCTGGCTCATGCTACCCCAAGTGAGCACACACAGGCCCTGGCTGACTGGTCCCACATGACTCTGTCCTCACTTTCTTTTCTTCACTCCTGGGTCCCCTCAGCCTTGCACTTTTTAGGAAATCAGCCCTATTTCTTAAAAAAAAAAAAAAAAAAATCATAGGTTGATTGAAATCAACCCCAGCCAGGCTGGAGAGGATATTAACTTGCAATGGGTTTTAGACATGCCAATGTTGGTCAAGTATCAGTTATGAGACTTGAAAATGGGTCGTGGGCTCCAAGTTACCTCCAAGAGCTGGTGCCTCTTGGATTTCGGCAAGTGTGGAAGAAACTTTTAGAAAAACGTGAAGGGGAGGTGAGTGAAGAAGGCAGTGGCTCTTGTCTGGATTGGGGTCAGGAAAGCAAGGGACTGGGAGGGACAAGGACCAAGGGGGCCCATGAAGGGGACAGATTCCTCTTCCCAAGGCAGGAAGGACCTCCTTTTCTCTATGACAAAGGACCCTTGGTGGAGGACAGGCAGGATTTGGAGTCAGATCCAGCCCCAGAGAGGCATTTCAGAGCCTGCAGCAGCCAAGGAGCTGGCAGAGACCCAGAGCCCTGTGTTTGGGGGTGGAGCCACCAGGTTGAATAGAAGTCTGTCCAGATGGGTAAACATAGAGCTGACCTCCTGGGGGAGCCTCCTGAATGAGGTATTTAACCCTCACCATGCTAGAGAAAGTAAGGAACAAGCCCAGCTGGTTCTAAATCGGGGAGAGAAATGCAAAGGGAAGAGACAGAAGTCTGGCTCCAGCTGGTCAGCGGTCTGGCCAAGGCTCCCAAGCTACCCTGAAGACGCATCAGACCCGCCAGGCGGCAGGGCGAGGGGTTAAGGTGTCTCCCACCCCCAAAAAAGAAGAAAGAGGAGGAGAGGTGGGGATAAGGAATCCTTATGATCTGTGGTGGGCAGACAGCACAGCAGCTCCTTGTCGGTGGGCAGCTAAAACCGGCTCTGCATCTCCTGGCTAGTTTGAGGTTTTTGCAAGATAAATAGGCTCCTTGTGGTGCGGGTCGATGCCGCCTACATGGGGCACTGCGTCTCCAGGCACCACCCCCACCATCCGCCCCCAGGCTCACAAAGCTCCCCTTTGTCCGCAGCCTCCCTCCCTCTCCCGTCCCAGGTTAGAGACTCACGTCGATGCCGTCGGATCCAGGCACACCCGGCGGCCCCGGGGGTCCTGGGGGCCCCCGCTCTCCTGGAGGACCTCTCTGAAAACACACAGGGGTGCAGCCTTCAGACAGTGCAGGGAGCTGCACCTTCCCCAGGAAAGACATCTCCGCAGGAAGCAGCGAACTCCCGTTTATTCAGAACCTAAGGTGTACCAGATACTGTGTACCATTACATATAGGATCTTAATGAATGCTCAGAACAGTGAGGAGGATACTTTTTCAAGCCTCAGTTTGCAGTTGAGGAAACAGGCTCAGAAAGATTCAGAATGATCACAGAGAGTAAGTGGTGAAGCCAGATTCTGTCCTAGTTCTGCCCGACTCCTTCCACTGTACCACGATGCCCTTGTGCTGTCGCGGTGGGGAACAGATGGAGAGCCTGATGGCTCGAATAAGTCACAGATAGTACAGTGAAGGGTGGCTTGTATATTCAGGTCTCGGTGGTGAGAAGGTACCCACCCTCCCCCCTACCACTGGTGAAGGTGAAACCCGAAGGGAAAATGGGGGGTGATGGGGACAGGGGGGTGTCAGGACGGAAACCTGTCTTCTCCTTCCACTCAGAGCTCTCTCCCAGCACCGCTCCTCCATCCTCCCTGGGGTGGCCCTCTTATGGGGGGGCCTACGCAGGGGTTTTACGCGTGCCGGGTTCCACGTGTGCCAGGTGACCGCAGAAGAGCTGCGAGCCACACAGGGTACCAGACGGCGCCCCGGCCCTGCCCCACCGCGCCCGCGTCCCGTTGGACCTCCATCCCCCAGACGGCCTCGGAAATGAGCCCCGCAGACAAGCAGCGGCCAGGAGAGAGCGGCGTCTGGCCGGAGCTGGCGCCCCGCGGGAGGCAGAGAGGGCGGAGGCCCCCGAGCCCCTGAATGGGCACCATTGTCTTCCCCGCGGCCTGGACTCAACAGGCTGCCAGGACCCAGCGCCAGCTCCTGCCCCACGCTGCTGTCCCCGGCAAGGCCGAGCATCTCGGGACAGGGTCCCTCAGGCTCCCCAGCTCGTAGACCTCCTTTCACGGTGCCGGGATGCGCCCCGTATGTGCACCTCCTGAGGGGACTTGGCGCTGCGGGACTGTCCGAAGTGGCCCCTCGGGCTAGGAAGTGTCAGTAGAGGGTAGAGGCCAGGCAGACCCCTTCACCAGACTCCTGGATCCTGGACCTCGGGCCCGCACCCCAGACCCCGACGCGGGAGTGGCAGCGACACTTACGATCTGCGCCAGCGCGAGTCCGAGCACCTGGAGCAGGACGAGGAGGCCGCGGGGGGCGGCCGCAGCGGCCATGGCGGCGGCGGATGGAAGAGGAAGGGGCCCGGGTCCAGGACCGACGGCTGAGGCTCCGCGCTCGGCAGTGGCTGCTCTTGGTAGTGGT